AAAATTGCCAAAGGGCCCATTCTCTCCTTGCCCTCCCCCAGGATAGTATACGATCGCCGAAGGTGTGAGCCGAGTACCGTAGGCTCGAGTTAGCTAGGGATGGTTTTAAAATTTGGGTCCCTGAAATAGCATTTCGTGCATTCTGAGGACAGTCACATTTTTAACTGAAAGTTTTAATGGTGAAATTTGTAATAAATTGCATGCTAAACATTCAAACATAACATAAGTTCAGTTAAGTATGGTCACCAACAAATTTATTTTTTTAAACTTCTTTTCAATGTTAAACTCATTTACTCATACAAGTCCTATAGGGACCTGGCTTTGGGGCAATAGGCCATTTTTTTTCAGTTGTGGGGCAGAGGAAGGGGCCCAGTGGGGCAAATGCCCCACCAGTCCACGGTATTAAAAAATGCCTTGCTTCAAAAATAGCACATTACAGTCATGGCATAAAATTAGATTACAACACGACTGGATAACAGTCTTAACAGAGAAAATCATGAAAGTGGCAATTGCAGTCGCGTTTGCGTAAAAGTAGGCCGTATATATACGGAAATTGTCATATCTCAACGGGAGTTTTAGGTATATTTAAACCGATAACTGCATCGAAAAGCCCTTGAAAAACAGCACATTATAGTGGCATAAATTAAATTACTACATACCCAGCTAACAAAGAAAATTAAGCATGAAAGTTGTAAAGTATACAAATACCACTCGATATACCTTCATATCCGCATTTTTCCCTCCCATCCGTCCGTTCGCATTTTACCCTCTCATCCGTCCGCATTTTACCCTCCTGTCCGTCCGTTTTTTACCCTCTCATCCGTCCGTCCGTCTGCCGTCTATCCGTCCGCATCCGCATTTTATTCTAATTGTATTCGTAATATAATATCACTTTTACCACGACGCACGACCCACCCACCCACGCCATTTAGCCATCCTCTCTGGTAGACTCGGGAGTTGTTCATGATGATTCAAAGTCAGTTAACATCAGTTCCGTCCATCCACTATCATAGGACTAGGGATCACTTGTCATGAAGATGCTCAGTATCTGATTGTTCAGGTCATCCCTGGCTGTCTCACTGCACGGGGGAGAGGGTCGTACTCTCTGTTGGTTTGCTTGCTGTGTAGCAACCCCCTGGGTGCGGCGATTTCACGGGCTCAGGTTCCATTGCACGGTCGGGACCGGATAACCAATGATCAAAACCTTTCGTCGTTCAACTGAAAATAAAACTGATAACATGACTAGTCGGAAAATTAGCGATTAAGTTTGAGAGTTTGTTCGCCTCTTTTGTTGTTGAAACGTTTTCGATTTCGTTGTTGTTGAAACAATTCGAATTTCGAGTTGTCGCGTGTTGCATCACAATAAATAAATAAATTATATCAGTTTCACGAGGCACGACGTTTCTGATGTGTTAGGCTTGTTTCAAACATCGCGCTACTCATGTGCCAAACGTATAAAAACAATATATAATGAGATGAGATGCCTATGGTAACTGGTTTATTTCGTAAACCGTCATCTTTACAAAACAGAGCTCTTGCAATTCAACACTTAATGAACGAGTTGCGAAGGGAGTGACAAGGGATTTTTTATCTCTTAAAAACGTTGTTCTAATCCACATTGTTTAATAACGTGCTAACTCTAGCCTATGCCTGCTTCAGCCTGTGCCTGCATGCTCTTACTGTTCCAGGTTGTCGGCGACCCTATCGTTCTTGCAGTGTCTTTTTCAATTTGAAACTTTGCACTACCCTTGGATACCTCGCTAGGTTTTATGCAGCAGATATGAGGATATTCGTCTATTTTGATGTTTCTTCTTTCAATTTATGTCAGTTTTGGTAACACATAGTGCGTTATTAAATTGCAACTTGCGGGTACAAAATTCTCTCTAAAATAGCATATTACTTTGTGTAGTTGAAAAAGAAGCACGTGACTCCCAATTTGTTTTCTTGGATATGTTTTCGAGGCCGCACTTTAATTTCGTGATTTTTAAGGTAGTTGCTTTAGCGGTTTAAAGAAGTTAATTTAAAGAAAAAGTATTGCCTATTAAATTAAGCGCCTTAGATAGTTATATGTAAAACATCCATTTTCATTTCTGTGATCCACTGCTGTTTTCGCAACCCGCGTTATTTATCCGCTGTACGTCCGCTCCTATTAGCCAGAGGCATCACTATTATTATTATTATTATTATTATTATTATTATTGGAAGTATTGCCCGCAGGTCTTTTCAATACTTATTTACAAGTGATACTTTTGACAGATTAATTAATGTTTATAAAAATAATTACAAAAAGAATTTATAAAAAGTTTAAATGTAGCGCAATAAAATAAATTTCAATAAGAATAAGATTCTTGCATGCATGTTAAACTAGTGTTTATATATACTATAAATATTCAAGTTTCAAAATATCGATTTTCAACTCATTGTCTAAACTATTCCATAACCCAACAGCTCTATATCGAAAACTTCTTTGTCCTGTGGTGGTTGAAAATAGGGGAATATGTAGTGCTTCAGTGTTTCTTGTGGCGCGATTGTTTAGTTCCTTACGTTTAAGAAATAGGTCGCACAGATATGTTGGAGCGAGACTATTTATACATTTGTAGATCATGACCAAACCTTTGAACAACAGGTGCCCTTTAACAGGGAGCCAACCAATATCTTTAATTAAGGATTGGTGTAATATGATCAAATTTTTTCCCATTAGCTATAATTCTGCACGCAAAATTTTGGACGGCTTGTAGTTTCTTAATATTTGAAGAACTCGTATTTGACCAAACTGTTGAACAGTAGTATAATTTACCCATAACTGCCGCGCAGATGATATAAATCAGCGTCTTTTGATCAAAACAATGTTTGACATGGTTAATTTGATACAGTTTAGCCATGCACTCTGATGAGAGCTGGGTTATATGTTCGTTATATGTCAAGTTGCGGTCCAGGATTATTCCAAGGTCGCTTATGGAAGACACAGGAACGATTGTCTTATTTAAAAAATTCAAAGACATATTATCTGATAGTGAATTTAGTGACTGTCGCGTTCCAACTAACAGAAACTTGGTTTTCTCGGGATTAATCGATGATGAATTTTTGCAACACCATTCGGCTACAAGGCGAAGGTCAGTCTCAAGTTTATATTTGGCGTCTGACACTTCTTTGACAGAGAATGTCAGAGATATCTTGGAATCGTCAACAAACGAGTTCAGATCACATGATTGCGTCACTGTTGGAAGGTCGTTTGTATATATGCAAAAGCCCCCTGCGGTACACCGTGGGTAATAGGGAGAGCTGCAGACAAAGATGAACCAATGCGGACTTTTTGAAAACGTCGGGTTAGATAGCTTTCAAACCATTTAACTGTTTCCTGGGATACTCCAATAGCACTTAGTTTTTTTAATAAGATTGAATTACTGATACTATCAAAGGCGAGGTCAATTAAAATAATATTTTGAGAGGTCAATTAAAATAACAGCAGATAGTTTCTTGTTGTCCATTGCATCCAATAGATGATCGGTAATTAATAAGTTTAAACTTTCAGTAGAGTGCTGTTTTTTGTTGCCGCTTTGCTGTACACTAAGTCGTTTGTTGCGTGTTTAAATAGGAATTGAATTGGTTGAGGACAGCTCTGTCACAAATTTTTGAAACAGTATTTAGGAGGGAAAGAGGGCGATTATTTGAAGCAACTTCGTGATCACCGTCTTTTAATAAGGGAATAACTTCAGCTAGTTTCATTTCATCTGGGAACGTTGATGTGGCGAAGGACCAATTGATAATGTTGGTAATTGGACCAAGAACAACAGGAAGGCAATCTTTTAAAACACTCATACTAACTTTGTCCGGTCCTGGTGTTTTGTTTGAAGGCATAGACATGATGATTCGTTTAATATCAGTACACGAAACGGGCGATAAGTGAAACATTTCATGCGTGGTGTCTGCAGGTGATATTGCAGGAAAAGAGCTTGAAGTTGGTCCGTTAAGATTATTGCCTTTACCTAATTTGCATATTGCTGACATATGCAAATTAGGCAAAGGCATTAATCAAGCATGCAAATAGCTGATTTTTAGGGAAAATGTAAATTTGCGTGAATAGTTAAAGGGCTTAAACTAAAGCAAATTGTCTGAAATTTTGTACAGTAATTAAAACCCAACAAATTTTCCATGTATTAACTCAAAATATGATGCTTTTAAATTTTGTGCGGAAGCCATTTTTAGTTTCTTGGAAAAGACACACCCCCGGTTCACAAAGTTTGACTTCCAGAAATTGTTTTCATTATTCTACATTATAAGTACCCAAAGAAGCTATATACATCAACAACTGGATACTAATAGCTGTTTTGCGAAATTGAGAGCAATTTTTTTTTATTATAATAAACAATTGAAGGCACAGACAACAGGACTAATAAAATCCCAAATTAAGTCCTGCCATACATGAAAATACTACGCTATACTATGCTTTCAAATCTGTTTTTTTATACATCCTGTATATCTCAAACTCGATCATGGTAAATTAGCCAACCATATTGCTTTATTTTGCTGACATGATAATACTGGATAAGTTAGACTGGGTCAAAAATAATTTACTTCACTTTGAATAGTGATTTATTCGTATGACATGTCTTTTCGAGTCCTCCAATCCGGCCCGACTAGATTTAAAGTCCTCGCGTTTTGACCCAGGCCTCAGCTTCGCCTCAGTGCGCGGACTTGAAATCTAGTCCAGTCCTCATAATCGGATCTGAAATATTACATGAAGGGTGTATAGTGTTATGGATCTTCTTTTATAAAGCCATATAATATTAAACATTTATCACCTTAACTCTTGATCGTTTTTGAAGCCTGCAGCATACTCTTGCGACAAGTGATAAACATTTTTAATGGAACATAATATTAAAGTAAAACTGTAACGTGTATTCGGCGTTACCTTTTAACATATGTTCTGTGCCTTTCCGAACGTTTCTTTTGTCATTCTTTTGACAGTGGAAAATATAACGAGCTTTCCTTAATCATTTTTGTAGTGTCGAGCTGGGGAAACAACTGGCAAAGGTGATACAGCCAGAGCTGGAAGGAAATGAAACTGTCACAACGCACGATAGCTCAACAAATGGCTTGATGAAATTTATTAAGACTCATTGGCCTGTTCAATAGATAATACATTGAAGTGAGAACTGCTTTTATCCAGAATAATTTTAAATAAACACCATGTCATTTTGCAATTTGTTTTCTTCCCGACTCTGCATGCCATAAGCGAAAACCAGGGCGAAGAAGAAGAAATTGAAGCCGTGAAAATTCATGAAAACTTAAAGGTATAGGCTTGCCTAAAATAAAATAAAATAATATTAAAACTTAATAAACCAGCGATAGGTACCAAAGTTACCTAACGCTCACCTGCATGTAGTTATGTTAATGGTTTAATAATATAGATGAAAAGTTACTCAATTTAGCCAATCAGGAAAAATCCGCCGCCAGATAGTAGCTATACAAATGTTCACTTTTTTTACGACTTTTTGCACACTTTTAATCGAATACAACAATTTAGTACGTGAATGTAACAATTTAGTTACAAGGAACACATATACTGAGAAGGTTTGCTAACACGCATTGGAAACAATATATGGCGTAGGTGAATGCACAGGTTGTATCGAAACGTGCGTGTAAACTTTCATGTATATTATTAACAATGTTTCCATGTAGGCTATATACATTTCAGTGGTTGAGTCTTCTCAACAAAAGTAACTCAGGCTACTCAGCGGTAACCTGCCCTAAGGCAGCACTTTACCTTGCGATAGTAACTTATAGTATAGTGTAGTTTCTCGTTGCAATTTGGAAAAAATACACTCATGAGTTCTTCAAAGACTTCAAATTGCACATTTGATCGTCTTTGAAAACTCACTTGTGCGTGTTTTCTCCAAATTTCACTCGAAACAGCACTATTACCTATACTAACAATAGGTACGTGTTGCGTACGTGTCATTAGCTTATAGGATTGGCAATTGTTATAGCGTATAGCTAATTTCGTTCAAAATATATAATTAAAATTAATTGCTCGTTTGTAATCGAGGCCATTTTGGGGGATTTTCAACCATTGAACCATCAAATTTTTACTTTTTATTTTTTTTCGTATGAAGCCAGATACGGTATAAACTAGCCATAACACAGCAACATTTTAAAAAGAAACCAGAAAATATTAAATTAAATCTACTATTTCCCCGTAAACGGCTAAAATAAATTTTGAAACTCTTTCTCGCTAGAAGCTGCCAACCTTTGCATGTTCACATCTTGAGTTCAGTGCATGGTATGAAGACAATAATACCACCATTCGATTCAGTGAAAGAAAATCAACTAACCAGGCACACTACTAAAATGCGGTGCCCTACAAATAAAACTTCCGCTGTTTCCGCCTACAATATCGGCATTAGTGATCACAGCTTAGTTTATGTTTTTCGTAAACTTTCAAATAAACCTCACTAAGCTTCATTAACAAGCTCGCTTCGGTCGTAACTGGCAAATATCTGATAAGTGACTTGGCGGTTTGTAGTACCACTGAAGAGGAAGTTCGGTCGAAGCCATGACCGTGAGTCGAGAGTTTGCGTTTAGTCATGGCCAAGTTCACAAATTAGGTATCGACGACTTGGTAACGTATTTACATTTAACCTAGCTGTTCTCGAGTGCCGAGAACAACACCTCTCCCCTATAGTACCACAATCACACTTCCTAAGGAAGTGGAGATGAGCAAGGGCACCAAGACCCGCTCCGAAAGAGACACTGTATAAAGAACGACTTATGACACACACACGAGTTTGGGCCGATTGTTGACGCTGATTGCCGCGAACACAAGGACGGGAAGGACGATGCGACGGACGAAGGATTGTGATGATCTGGCACGAGGTGCCAGATCATGAACAGGGAAAGGTACTTAACTGAGATTGGGCAATCGATGGGTAGCGAGCCAAGCGACGGGGCTGGCTGCGGGCTTCCTCCGGGAAGGCTACGGATGGGCGTGGGTAAGGGGGAGGGGATGGGAACGACTAAGAACCCCCGTGGGTGAGGGGTGTGTGGGAACGACTAAATGTCACGACTGAGAATGAACTACTGGCGTAAACAACTTATATAAGGTAGGTTATGCAAATGCCCTCATTAGCATTTGCCAAGCTGTCCCCGGGGCCCCCTATTCTGATAACAAGTACAACAACTCAGCTTGTTATTAATATAATTTATTTCATAAATCCAATTATCTATATTGTTTGAATTGCATTCCACGCGACCGAAATTCGACGTATAAAACAGGCCTATAAAGGCTAGTTTCCACTCAGGAAAATTATCCGTGGATTGGAACGGACAAGAAAATTTTTCTTTGTCTTGTGAGCTCTGGGTTGAAACTAATGCCTTTAAACAATGAAAAATGTTCTTGTCCGTTCCAATCCACGGTTAATTTTCCTAAGTGGAACCTATCCTTAAATGGCCTTGGATCACATCAGAATTAAAACAGCGTATACATGAAAGGGATGTTCTTAAGATAAAAGCGTCCCCGTTCGAATGTGAGTGATCGAATACTAATCCACAAGAACTACCTGCTGTATAATGATGTCTGATGAACATTTTATCACTATTGGTCTGAAACTTGCTGACAAAATAACTTCGCGCTCAGATATGGTGTATATAAAACCTCTTGACAATGGAGTTAATTTTCAAATGAAGACTATAACATCGTCCGAAGTCTTTTCTATTTTATCAAAGATAAGCAAATCTAAAGCAACTGATTTAGATAGAATTTCTGCTATAGGAGTAGTGTGTAAATAGGGGTTCTGGCTTGCGCTCCTTTTTCGAATTTCATCCGGATCTCCGCCCGGTCCTATTTTCGGCTTTTAGTAAAACCAGGAACATGCACGGAACACCGGAATAACACTAAAGATACTTAATTTGTTAAAAATTCGAAAAAAAGTACCGGGGTGTGTGAAAGTATTGCGGCAATAATTATTGCGTAAAACGTGCCTTTCTGACTTGGCTGACCGATAGCTACTAATAACGAACAGAAATTCTCGCGGAAATCAGTCTCAAAGTAATACATATTCGCCCGAAAATTAGAAATCAAACCTAGAATTGTTATTTGTTGAGAATATTAAATGGCCCATCTTTGTTTGTTGTTGAAAACATGTCAATCAAAATATTAAAGTAACAACAACAGTTGATTGGCTTCCTTGTTTTTACCGACTTCGCTACTTTTGAAGTGCAAAGGGATAATTTTCAATTCTCGTTCGAAGTTGGCATTTAGCATCACTTTAATACAGACAGTTCTTTAATATTGATCCTTTCTCACACGAAATGTTTTATAAAAAACCTTTAACGTGTGATAATAACCTTTCGCTCAATTAAAATGACAAAAATACAAACAAACATAATTTAATATAGGCCATGTAAGTTGTATATATAAATGATGTTTCAACGCATGCATGTGTGTCTATTCGTCCATGTTTAAACTGTAAATTAAACTGACACTCAGTGAGGAAGTTTTAGTAAGAGTAAAAATCCTACGACTCTATCCGCGGTTTCGCTGGAGTTTTTGCTTGCCCTGAGATTCATTCCGATACAAGCAGGTATACTGTACATACGCGCACAAACTCTTAAAGAGAAGTCGGTTAATAGCGAACACTACAGTATAAACTCATATTAAAATATTCATGTGCATCTCATTATTCACAAGGCTTTACCTGCCCGGAAATGATTCGTTTTACTATCTGATTCTATTTCTAACTCGACTTATTTGTAGTAGTATTCTTTACGACGGCTTTCATTTCGAAATGCGCACAACCGTATTGTGGCTTCCCTCAGCATGTTGTTGATGAGCCAAACACAAATATCAGATATTTCCATCGTTCTGTAGCAGTAGCCAATTTCATGCCACCGTAGCAAACTATAGCATTTGCCCCATTCTGATTGGTTTGCTACGTTCGACCGTAGCAAACCAATCAGAATGCCGTATATGCCAATTTTCGCTACGGTCAGATTCATTAAGGTCGAATCTGACCGTAGCCAAAATTGGCCATACATGGGCAACACGCTGCATGCGGTGTATTTCTGAAGGATGCTATTTTCTATCCTATAGTCCATTGCGTAATGACCCGCAAACGGGCAATTACAAGCGTATTTTCGGGCGGGAATTCTTAAAACAATGTTACGTATGTATCAATGTCATCATTTCGTACATAACTAAATAAAAATAAAGCCTTGAAATATAAACAAGGAAAAGTAAATAAAGTGTCGCTAAATTATATTTTAAATTGATTTTATGAATTATTGAACCATGTTAGAACTGGCCTGTGGAAAATCTGACCGTAGCATATGCTACGGTTGCAACGGTCTAAATCCGCCCCTGATCTAGTAATTCGAAGGTCGCGGGTTCAAGACCCAGCCGCGGCAGACAACATCTTTCTGCTTGCGCTGGGTTGACGTAAGGTAGAAGAGCGCTCAATACCATAATAAGTAGAGCGGAATTAATTCAGTCACACTGTCCTGCCTTTCGAAGCATTCTTAATTAAAATATTTCAATCATGCCTTACCTGCAGTCTACTAAATATTTTGTGGGCAAATTAATCAATATTAATTAATAATTTATGGCTGTGCGCATATTGTAGTCGAGAGTCATGACCCGCACTGTCTTTAAATTATATTTTTTCCTGGGTGACTAAAGGAAGACTATCCCATATTTGAAAAACACTGATTCTGTATTCCTATACAGGGTGTATCAAAATAAACGCAATTCATCTTTTGTGCTTAATAACTTTCGAAATACTATTTCTAGTTAAACGCTTTTAGGCTTACTTCAAAGCCTGTTCTTTTCTCTTTCAAACAAACTATTATCCTTGTCTCCAATGCTAGTAATAATTGCACAGGAAAAGATTTAGTAAAACCTATCATTTTTAGTTGCTGTTTAATTATGCAAGTTTACTATGTTATTGTTTAGTCGGTTTAAATGTTAGAAGTTTCTTCTTTAAACATTAATGTTGTCGTCACTACATCTGGAAAACCACGTAAGAACAAATTAAAAGTATTTTAAAAGATACCAGGTTGTTTGAAAATCCTAAACGAATGCTAAAAATCGTCAAAACATTCTGGTGTCTGAGCCAGAGTGTCATCGAATTGCGATGTAATGTAAACAGAACTTATAGCAAGTTGATGTCAGTCAGCTTAGATGGTCCAAGCCAAAATTATATCGCATTTGAAGTTTCAAACTGAGTTAAAAATAGTGGAAGAAAAGCCGTAATTATACTTATTGTTACAATCCATTTAATAAAATGCAACATTTTTTTGTTTTAATGAAAAAATCAGTTATTTTCATGAGAACGATTTGTTATTCCATCTCAATTTTTTTAATCTCCAATCGCAATAACGTAAAGTATTATTACCCGCGAACCAATGAGTCAAATTTAAGAAACAACCCACCGTTAGAAAGCTGAATGGCTACGCTTTAAAATGAATGTAAACTTTAACGTTTTCGTCTATTATTTGTTTAGCAATTTACATTTCAGTCGAGGATTGCGCTTTTTTTTATACACCCTGTATATTATGGGCATAGACGTGCGGCTATGATTATATATTTTCACTATTGTAGGCTATATATTATTATATTCTCCAAACGTGTTTAATCTGTTGTAGTCTGTTGCTAATGACCAGTACTTAGTAGGACCTGTACGCGTTTATATATTTGATACATTGCGAAGAATTTAATAAACCGAACTTCTTAAACGGCGTGAATAAATTGCATGTAATAATTCCCTGAAGCCACTACATGTATATATAAAATGCTAATCGGTATTAAACGACAAATATTTGTAGGTCCTATCCTATAGAGACTATAGCTAGCGTTTATATATAATAAGTAGTTATAGCGCATTTACGCATCGTGTATCAATGTTGATGATCTCTGTCTCCATCCGCACGAAATCACAATATACAGTATAGTATAATCATATAATACATTTTCGCATCGTTGTTCCAGACGATTCTACCGACGGACAATACGTATTTACCGACGGTGAATTGCCTTACCATCGGTACCGTCGGTACCGACGGACAACGTTTTTGAGGACTACCTGATACTCAACCTCGCACCCAGGCTAACAAGAGAGAGCTTGGGGGCTTCATAACACCCTGGATACGGGGTTGCCTTATAACTACGTCATTCACCAACGGACTGTGCGTATTTACCGATGGT